TGAATGAGGTATATCAATAATCCCTAGATTTCTAGATAAAGATTTGTCCACAATTAGTAGACACATGATATGTTGACTGAGTACAGGCATTGCTCAGAAGAAGTCCAAACAAGCTGTTTAGCGCTGTACGGTTAACTGTAGAGCTGAAGATAGAATTGTTCCTTACCAATTCATCCCTCTTAATAACTTATGATGCTCTCAAATAGTCAATATTAAGTCCTTCACTATAATCTGAATATTCCTAACTGTGATGTTGTTAAATAGTGGTCATTACATGGTTTTAGCGTAAATGAAACAGTCATCTGACATAACATGTCCACAAATTCCCGTTACTGACTTGAATACACCAAACTGATATCATTTATCAATACAATTTTAAATAGTTAAACAGCTGAAACGGTGTCCTTTTGCACTCAGAATCTCGGGCCTCGCAACAAGTCAACATTGAGTCATAATTATATGAAATGAATAACCAAAACTACAATGAGTACTAAATATAGATTCATCATATAATAAAACTTGAAGAATAAATTGGTGTTCTGTGTATTTTACTTTTATAGTTTAACTTTTAACAAATCTTTTCTTCAGTTCTATTGTTTACGGTATAGCATGACTATTTCAACTTAGCAACTCGTGGTTATTTCAGTACTGAACTGCAACATTTTACCAACGTTTTGGGTATTACTAATACGCAGAATGTATCAGTGTAGTTCTATATAATTCTTTACGTATCTTACTATATATATATATAGCATTAACGTAGCCAATCATAGTTTGGTAAATGCAGTAATCTTGATGCTATATACCTTACATGCTTGAAGTTGAGATAAGTTCTGTATGTTTATACATTCTGTTATCACAGTCCGTGTATTTGTTCGTAAGCTTTTTAATCTAATACCCGTTTACGTATGAAATACTGTGGTACATTTACTGGTGTGTACTAGTTTAGGGAAGCAATTATAACACTCCATTATATCAATATTTTTTCTCACATCGGTATCCTTAGGCTTAACTTTCCATATTACTATTTCTTAAAGAAAATGAAATGTCAAACGATGTTATTGTAATTTTAATTTTCTATTTCTACTTTGAAGAATCAATGTATTTTACTTTATTCATAAAAAATAATTCATCACTATTGTATTTTCTGTACTATTATTATCATTATTTTCAAACTTCTGGCCTTCCAGTTGGACAGGACTGGACACATGTAACTCTCTCCCAGAGGTTACTATATCCTCAGAAAATCATCAGCCAGTGCTGAAACGTTCTGCCTCCAGTAACACTTTTAGCATGCCTGAAAGAAACGTAGAGAGTATTCCTATACATCTCTCCAAACAAGGTAAGTCGATAGCCAACTGTAAATCATATCAAATAATTTTTGAGTATTTACATCATGACCAATAACTTTTAATTTCAACTACATTTGGTGAAGGTATACGAAATATACCCTAACAATGTATGCTCACTAACGAATTAAACACTCAAAACGTTTCAATGTTTTTTATGTAATTCTTACTATACCATTATTTTTACAATTTTTTAAAAAAGCTTACATTATAGTGTAATGCACAGTAATATAAAGCACTGGTATACTGTCATATCCATATATTTGTATATGTTCCATTTATTTATACATACAAACACAATGATGATTAATATTAACTTCTGATTAGAGCCAAATACGTACTTTGAGTAAAATTAAAAATCAATCCGGTAATGAGTATAACTAATTGAACTGTTATTACTTTCTTATTTATAAAGGCTAGAATGTTTATCAATTTAGAGATGTGGTATTCATAGTTAAAAATAATAACTATTATGTGGTATACATAATTAAAAATAATAACTATTGCGAATAGAGGTATATCAAAAATTTAACTTCATTGAGCCAAGAAAAAAGACAGGACAAAAAAGTCAACAAAAACTTTGTTTACTTAATCGACATGTCAAAATCCAGAAATCACAGAGTGATTCAGTAGAGAAAAACATAATACTTTCTATATTGACAGGACGTCTCAGAGCTGGCTCCAAAATAAAATATATTATTATTGGGTCAATTTTCCCAGAGTGCATTTGTCAGTTGTCACTCACATCATCTAACCATTCACATTAATAGAAATATAAACACCTGAAATTAATCTCCACCATCATCATCTAAGGGAAGATCTAAATATACCATGAGGTGTATCCAATCACAATGTGTGACCGGTTCAAGAATAAGGTCAGTACAGTCCAAACCTGCTATGTTGTTAACACACGTGCCACCTCATTTAATTTTGATAAAGTTTGAAAATATTCACGAACAAGAACATATTCAACTTTATAACGTAAAAGGAAAAGAAACGTGATGTTTAATCTGAAAGACAATGGGTAAGAGTAACGATCTCTCCAACTTTCAAAGAGGCATTATGATGGGAACGTCTTCAGCAGGAGTATTATTATTCTAGACACTAAAAATGACGATACCACTTTAATGCTTTTGACAAACTGTCTAAAGTTCTGCGATTTATCAGTTTTTAATGTAACTTATCTATCGTTTATAAAGCTTCTTTTTACAATATTTCTCGATCAGGAGTTATCTACATTTCACTTACTAGTATTCCAAGCAATGTAAGAATCGTTGGTCATATGTAAAATGTTTATAATTGTATGTTTATGCCTTTTCTGTCGTTTTTTATTCTATTTTGAGAACTTCGTCAGCATAGAATCCAATTCTATCATTCAATTCAACACCGAAAGGGGGATTAGCCTATAAAAAAAATGCGATGGGAATTTGGTTTGTTGTAAAAAACAAAGTCGGTTACGAATGAAAATAATAAATTTTAATTTCATTTCTGCAGGAAACCTATTAAATCTAGAAGAAGGTGTTGTAAAAAGTGAAGATGCAGGACTTGGTACTACGAACAATTTTCAATTCGGTGCCAAGAAACGTCTTGATCAACTGACAATTGACTTCAATCAACAAACAATCTCTCGATGTAGCTCTTTTGAAGGTTCTTGTACAAGTCTGGCCAACACTCCTACACCAGGAAAGAACAGCAAATGTAGCTGGCAGAAGGAAAGGTGAGATTTGCTATCTAAATTAGTATTTTGGCAAAAGTTTTGTAATCGGAGGAACTGCAACTATTGGAATTCTCTTATTTCTAAATTTTATTATATTGTTGGTTCTACATAATTTTCTCTCAGTATTTTCATACAATTACTCCTTTGACAACTAGCATTATATTTGGGGCACGTTAACGAAAATTTTAAGAGTTTTAAAGAATAAAATGAAGGGAGGATGGAAAACATGGCTGTGCTTTTTTGAAATGCTTATTAGTGTAAATTATTAAAAGTATCAAATTTAAAAAATCCATTATTGTATTTACAAACAACATAACTGACAGACAACAAGGGACAATTTGTTCCCTCCATTCTTTTGCAAAGCAAACATTTAAACCTAAACTATATTTTTCTGGAAATTGTCGTTTCCTCTCTTAAACCCCTGCAAACTGCTAGTCTCCACTACTGCTGATGATAACTTAACGTAATGTTTTGTAAGGCCGTCCTTTGTACACACGCGCACACCCTTTAGGAAAAGAAAAAATTATACCTTCCATTTATATTTCAAGAAATCGTCTGTGTCTTTCTTAAACACCTGCAAAGTATTAGTCTTATTAATGCCGAAGGCAAATCATTCAGTAAGTCAATTACCCCGTTAGAAAAATAACACTGTTTTAACTGGAACATAATCTTGTAAATTTCAATACGATCACATCTTATTCTTTTTTTTTAAAGGGTTCTTATTTTATCCCTATAAGCTAACTTTTCTATCCATGGAATCATCCTAATATCTATCCTATAAATCCTTTCCAATAAATCCAATACATCAAAGAATATATTAAGTCTTTATGTTACTGATTGGTTTCAATTTCACATCAGTGAAAATAAAATAATTCTGTCATATCATTATTAAACAGTTTGTCTAATGCATAATAGTGGATCAATAAACTTTGTAGGATGCCACATATTATTCAGACGCCTAAATTGATTTAGAGTAGAGCATGATGAGTTTAAAGACTTAAAACTCTCCATAAATATATTTTTTCTGCCTTTCATCTTGCTTATCATGCTAATTCGATTTATTGTAATTAAATAATCCCTCGCAATGTTATATATATTATTTCAACTTTACAAAGTAAAACGAAAATTTCAAACGCATTAGTTAAGTAAATATATTGAAACTAGCAGAAACGCTGCCGTATAGGCGGCTGTTCAGTCAGGATTTTGGCGAGCTATACGGTGTGCTTCTCTGTATAAAATTCCTCCTGACTTCTAACTGCATCTTGGCGAGCAATTTGATGTGCTTCTGTTTTCTTTTGTTTTGTGTGTGTGTGTGTGTTTTTTTTGTTTTTTTTGTTTGGTTTTTTTTGGGGGGGGGGGTCCTGGATTATTCTCACTGGATCTTGCCTCATAACTTGGTGAACAATCCTATCTACTTTTTGTTCTTTCTTACTGTAACTTGCATCCTGTTTGTTTTGTTGTGGTGGTTGTTTTTTCTGGGGGAGAGGGGGTCCTGGATTATTCTCACTGGATCTTGCCTCATAACTTGTGAACAATCCTATATCTTTTTGTTCTTTCTTACTGTAACTTGCATCCTGACGTTTAATTTTCTTTCTAAAGTTTCAGACTTTGTTCGTGATAAGTCACTTTTCCGTTTGGTAATTTTTGGCATCGTGGTTTTCGATCGTTTTGATCACTTTATACCCATACTGAAGTAATTAAATACTTGTGTAACTTACGAACGTCGAGTTACAACAAATTTTGTAAGCAACGAGCTCCGTACGAAGGACTTGTAATTCCATACCTCTCCATGTTATCTTTCTGTCCATTAAATTTGTGCAGCTTAGATTGGCTGGCCCTGACTCCATTGCCATACTTGAGTCTTTCATCTTCCTGTTGGGTGAGCTTGGTGATCTCATTTTGTGATCTTATTCTATCTATTTCAACTCTCTCTCCTCTTCTCCTTTCAGTCTTTTTCTCCTTTCAGTCTTTTTCTTCTTTCAGTCTCTCTTCCTCTCTTCTCTACCTATGCTTCTCTCTTTCTAGGTCTTGTTGTTTAAGCCCAATTCACTCATCTCTCTCTAACCACTTATCGACATGGTGAAATAGTGTAGCTGTGACCTCTACACCACTACACCACTACAGCTGTGTGTATATATATATTTATTTGCCGGTTGTTTACGTCACTTCTATTGCCGTTTACCCATTTAGATCCCTGGCTGGCTCACCAACGTCAAGTTTTATATAGGGCCGGATTCTTTACAGTAGGTGTCTGCGACTTTTGGATTATATATTTCAAGAATAAACAAACAGCACACTGTTGATTATCACAGTTGTATCCAGAGTTTTAAATAATACTTTATTTCGTCAAAGTCCACAAAGACTGGTTCAGTTACTTCAAAATACACGTTGACAAGACAAATTATTCGTCTCTACTCTGTTATTGCAATACAATCTGTGATACTTTCACTTTAGAATCGTCGATATGCGTTATTTATTGCTAAACTCACATGCACGCAGTCCAGATCTATTTGAAAATATCTCTCACTAACTAACTTGAACTTCATTTTGGATGTGTATTTATAAATAGCCCAACTGAGGACTAGAACTTTCTACACACTACAAGATATACAAGATATTATACAATAATACAACAGTTGAACAACAAAAGTATGATTTGCACAGTTACGTAAACAAATATGTGATAAACTATCGCTTATAAAAATAACTAAATTTAACACTCGTGCCATACTTAAATTAAAACAGTCGTGTATATCTAACATGCAGTAGATAATTTTTTTTATAAATAAACTATTACAGTCACATTGAAAGGTAAAGTAAAGTATTAATTAGATTCTTTACTATGACATCACACACAATTTTAAAAATACATCAATATCCTAATCATGTACGAGAGAGTACAGACTACACATACACACCCTTGCTGTTTGATGTATATTTTTATTTAAACATGTTTTGGATTTAGATTTGTTTCGAGGAAGAGTAATATTTTGGTTTCACCACCAGAGTGGTTATCATCACATAAATGAAGTACATTTATTTTCTTGCAGTAAAAAATCAGTTTTAAAATCTTACGCCAAAATTTTGGTTAATCCTATGTTTACGCTAAGAATGAGTCTTAGCATTTATTATCCCTTTTAGCCTTTTGTTAGAAAAAGCCAATTAAAGAAAATGACTTTTCCTTTATAATCATATCTGAATTAATTACACAGGCCTGCAAATTTAAATTTCATAAAAGTTGTTTTGGTTTTAATAAACGATTTTCTTTAATTCAGCTACGCAGATTTCGAAAATAATATTAATTTTTTTTCTATCACATAAGGATTTGTTACAAATCGGGAAAAAACAACAACTTTTATTTAGATTAAATTATTATTTCATTTACCGCAACGAACATTTTTTATTATTATACAAACAAACTGAAGAAAAGGGAAGAACATTGATGTCAAACGAATATGCATAACCTAATTCATCCTGATTTTGTGTGTGTGTGTGTGTGTGTGTGCGTGTGAAATCTACGTATTTTAGTCTCAAAATTACGCGTTGTGGTCTTTCTTTTATGTATTGCGTTATGACGTTTTGTGAAAAATCTGTCCGTGATTGAGATAAATGAATATCATTTTCGGATTCAGCATACAGGAATTACTGGCGAACATCGCAGGCCTGCGTTAACAATAAAACCATCGCAGGCATGTGTTAACCATAAAACCATCGCACGCCCGTGTTAACAATAAAACCATCGCAGGCATGTGTTAACAATAAAATCCATCGCACGCCCGTGTTAACAATGAAACCATCGGACGCCTGTGTTATTTGCACTTCATTTCTGCTTTAGTTATTACAATGGAGAAACCTCTGATTTAAAGGAACAGATACAAGGCTGGGAATCTACTGTTGGTTTGAAGCCTTATGGAAAATGTCTTTAGATTACCCTTTGCATTTGCTTCCTTCTTTTTGGGGGGGAAGAGGGGTACCGACCTATAAGTATCACGTACAAGATAATGGGGAGTGGATAAAAGTTCTTAAATTATTTAACCATCTCAGTAGGCCTGCATTCCATAACATTTATATATATGGGCCTGTTTACAATATCACAAGTCCCCCAGTGGCACAGCGGTATGTCTGCGGACTTACAACGCTATAATCCAGGTTTCGATACCCGTGGTGGGTAGAGCACAGATAGCCCATTGTGCTTACTTACAAACAATCAATATCACAAGTTGGTGATGTATTTGAGATTAGAAATGCTATCGATTCCCGTGTGGTATTTAATACCCATTAATTTGTAAAACGCTCTAGCTCTTTATGAAACTATACCCATTAATTTGTAAAACGCTCTAGCTCTTTATGAAACTAAGCCCATTGATCTCTTTGTGAAACTATACCCATTAATCTCTTTATGAAACTATACCAGTTAATCTCTTTGTGAAACTATACCCATTAATCTCTTTATGAAACTATACCCATTAATCTCTTTATGAAACTATACCCATTAATCTCTTTATGAAACTATACCAGTTAATCTCTTTGTGAAACTATACCCATTAATCTCTTTATGAAACTATACCAGTTAATCTCTTTGTGAAACTATACCCATTAATCTCTTTATGAAACTATACCAGTTAATCTCTTTGTGAAACTATACCCATTAATCTCTTTATGAAACTATACCAGTTAATCTCTTTGTGAAACTATACCCATTAATCTCTTTATGAAACTATACCCATTAATCTCTTTATGAAACTATACCCATTAATTTTGATAAATAATAGTTTCATAAAGAGCTAGAGCGTTTTACAAATTAATGGGTATAGTTTCATAAAGAGCTAGAGCATTTTACAAATTAATGGGTATAGTTTCATAAAGAGCTAGAGCGTTTTACAAATTAATGGGTATAGTTTCATAAAGAGCGTTTTACAAGTATAGCCTCTAAGGAGCATTTGCTTCACAACGTTTTCCTTATAGTCTTTGCCTTGTGTTTACATTCATGTAAAAATATCAGCGAAGTGTATAAAACCGTTCCTCGCCTTGCTTGTTATTGGTTATGGGGTTTATATTTCAACGATCTCTTGTATCTAAAAGTTTTTGTTGTTGTCGTGACAAACTCTGATATTTCAGATCGCTGTATTGGAACTTAAAATGTGTTTAGTGTTTTCAGTTTTCGAACTATTAAAAATTGATAAGATAATTGATGTTGTTTTTTCAATTATAGGACAGGCATTGTGGTGATGCTGAGTGCTGTGTATGCTAAGCTCTTGGTCGTCATGGGCATTTGCTTTCCTCTCGGTGAAGTAATTTCACATCGAATTCCAATTTCGTATTACGAGGTGTGTATAGAATACGAGAAATAGTTAACTATAACAAAAGCTATAAATTATTCTCAGTTGTGTGATTGTGTATATTTATCTTTGTTTTGTCATTTTCTTTAAACGCTGTCTTGGTAGTTTTCATTACACTCCTAGAACCAAATTAGAATAATTCAAATAAATCACGAGGAACTTTAACAACATTTTAATTACCTAGAGTTCAATTCCTTCAACGTGCAAAAACATGTATACTGAACGATATTTCAAACAAATGTCTTATTTGTATTCATAACGAACCTTATGAATATACGCATATAAAAAAGCAATATAGGTCAAATCAATTAAACCTTTTGAAAATTATACACTGCCTGGTGACTTTACTAGGACCACAAATATATAATTAGATATGAAAAATGTTATAGATCTGGTAATTACTTAAGTCATACAAATGCAGAGATATAGTCATGTGGGCAATGGGTAACAAAAGGATCTACGCGGCTTTCAAAAGTGTATTATAACTGTTTCTCGTCTGTTAGAAGTCTTATGTTTCGATATCGTTTCTTTGACTAGCTGTTTGGCCCGGCATGGCAACGTGGATGGGGCGCTCGACTCGCAATCTGAGTGTCGCGGATTCGAATTCCCGTTCCCCTAAACATGCTCGCCCTTTCAGCCGTGGAGGCGTTATTTGACGGTCAATCCCACTATTCGTTGGTAAAAGAGTAACCCAAAAGTTGGTGTGGGTGGTGATGACTAGGTGCCTTCCCTCTAGTCTTACACTGCTAAATTAGGGACGGCTAGCGCAGATAGCCCTGGTGTAGCTTTGCGCGAAATTCAAAACAAACAGACTATCTGTTCAAATACACCAGTAGAAACTGTAGTCGCCAACCCATGGTAAGAAACAGAAGAAAAAGCGATTGAATTACTTGTAAACGGATATAATATTGTCTTCCAGTTGACCGATTCCTTTAACAGTAGACAGGAGTCACTTGACCCTAAGTACACAGTACGATTTGTAAAAACTGCAAGTGCTTAGTGAATGTGTAGCGATAAGACGTGTTTTACCATTTGCTGTGCTGAAGACAGAATAAAGACACTTGATACTGACTGTGTTTCTCGACAGATGAAGTTGAATCTTTTGATCCGTTATAGTTAGTAACATTTACTGATTTCAGATATCAACCTTAGCTAGCATAGTCAAAAGTGACCTTAGATGAGGTCGTTACAAAATGATTTCAGCTGTGTTTCTAGTTTAATTATAGTTTTTTATTTCTAGACAAAGATTTAGAACAGAATAAACAATGAACCTTTTTTTCAATGAACAATTTTTTCCAGATATATACTGATTTAGCAGAATGTACACGTATCAATAATCTTACAAGGTGGACCTTTCTTCTTCAGGGGCCTCTCGGTTTTTATCGCTTTATATTAAGACTTCTTGAACATACAGGTTTTTCTGACATCATGAATAATCTGACAAGTACATCACCTACAAATTGATACTGATGGAAGGGATAAAAGGTTAATTTGGACAAGAAAGATGACATATATAATCTGGCAAGTACATCATCTACAAATTAATACTGATGGAAGGGATAAAAGGTTAATTTGGACAAAGAAGATGACATAT